TCTCTCTCTCTCTCTCTCTCTCTCTCTCTCTCTCTCTCTCTCTCTCTTCTTCTCTCTCTCTCTCTCTCTCTCTCTCTCTCTCTCTCTCTAATTTTTTTTAATAAGAATTAAATTTGCACGAACATCCGCAGGTTATGATTCGATTATAAGTTTTTTAATTAATTCATAGAATTTCACACAGTTTGTGTAAATTATCCAGCCTCATTTGTATCACACGCGGATAATGAACAGGGAAATGGACGAAGAAGTGTTTCCATGTAATGGCCGGGTCGTTCCGCTCGCTGGCCGATGATCGATTCGTCCACTTAATGCGCCATTTCTCCTGTATTCTATTTCCCGGGGAAATTGGTTACGGAACAATGTAGCTGCGTCGGTGATGCAGCGACGCCTAAAGGGTTGCCAACTCTTGCAGATTTAAGTAAATTGAATCATACGGAGCGAGCGAGTGGCGGAATTTTTATTAATAAATAGAGAATCCTTTTGATCCATTTGCAAACATGCGTATATAATTAATCGCAAAAATATTTGTAGGATTCTCTCTCGTTTTTAACGACGTAATTTTAATTAGTTGAATTCGCCATATACACTGAGATCGTATTTTAGATATCATTAATTTTATTTTACGGAATCTCGCCTTTGAATAAATCAAACGCGCGATTTCGTTAATTTCGTAAATTGTTCCGGGAGAAGAGGAAAAAAATTTCTCGAAGAGATTAATTAGCTCAATTGATTTCGATATCTTAGTAGAATTGTCGTGAGTATTCCCCGACCGATTCGTTTCGTCCATCCCACGCAGCCATTAGCGGTGGTCTTTCGACAAGAGATGGATTCGAATAAATTGACTGCATCGTACTCGAGACACATTCTGAATAACGAAGCACCCAGTGAGAACATAAATCTCTCAGGGTAGGACGCGTTGGACGTGTTTTTGATGAGGACGGATGAACTGTGATCCGTCTTATGGAAGAAATTTTCATTTACTTCCATTTCGTTTTCTTCCTATTCGTGCCGGCTCTATTTTACGTTAGATACACAATTTCATCATGGTGAAAAAGAACGGAAAAAGAATAAAACTCAAATCATACAGAGTGAAAAATTTCTCTCAAAAGGGGAAACAGGAAATAAGAATAAGCTAAAGAAATAATTTTCCCTTTTCTTTCGAAATGTACTTATTTTACGCGACACGTACTTCCGGTGGTATTGTTTTACGACTGATCATACGGCATTTGAAATATCCTATTTTTCTTCTTCTCATTTGCCCGGTTCGATTCCCCTTCCCAACGAGAAAGAGGATACGAGACGGTTGTTTTCTTTCTCTTCGTTCTTCTCTGGTTTTATTACTCTGGTACGTTTGCGACAAGTGGAATGGCGTTTTATACGAGAAGGCGACGGAGAAAAGGAACAAAAGAACTCGTTGGTTCGCGAATCGGCAGTGGAAACAAGCTTTAATGTTCAGTCAGTAGAAAAGGAGCGAGACTTGGTAGACGCCGATCGAATAATTTCTACAAAAGGAATTTTTACGGTATATTAATTCTTCTTTCTCGTTCCACTAGATATTTAGAAGCCAATTTTATTTTCAACATATCAAAACGTTAAGGATCCAATTAAAGTGGAAAAGTTAATATCGTGAAAATTAGATCGATTCGATTTAAGTTTGGTCAGATTGTTAACAGTTTGGCTTTTCGAAAAACAAATATTATCCTCTATTACGGTGATAAAATATCGTTTTTAAATTTGCATTAAAAATAAAACGCACAATGTTTGTCAGATCAACGTTTTTTCTATTTTAAAAACTAACGTGAAAGTGGGTATCACGTTCAAACCGGGTTTCTACTTAAACATTTCTCTCGACAGAGCAACAACGAGATCATGTTTGAGGGAAACGCGATAAAATAGGTCATCCTGTATTATTCATGAAGACGTTACTGACGACCGAAGTGGCTTGATACGGTAACTGCTCGCTAATTAGGGAAACATGGTGCGCCCACAACTATCTACGATGAGCTTGTAAGCTATTTCCGCGTTCCTGTACGTTCGCATTAATTAACAAAGTTGGGAGTCGAAGCAAAGGTAAACAGGATCCGCTGTAAATCGACGACGTAACATTCCTATAGGCAAGATAAAACGTTGATACAATGCGTGGTTACGATTGTCCACGTCGATAAAGCAGTTTTGAGATCAAAGTTAGTAATTACCGACCGGTCGGTTGCAACGAAATCTCGAAATCACTCTCGTTCTTTCTTATCTCCTCTGTTTTCCACGGTGTTGGCATGGTGTTGGTCGGCGTCACGGATAATTAATTACCCACTTTTAGCTTAATCCAAGAGTGTACCTGGTGGGATTATATCGCGGTCGTGTTCTCTTTCTCCTTTGTCGCTTTTCGACCGCCTTTCCTCCCATTCGTGGCCACGACTCGTACTTCACTGAAAACAATGGCTCGTCGCCAACAATGGCTTACGGAGAGATAGAGAAAGGGAAGAAGGTTAAGAGGTTCAACGGAAGAGGCTAGGAAGATATATTTATATCGTGTGCTCGAAAGATATATACGCGACCGATATCACTGATTAGGTGCGACTACGTGCATCAAGTGTTTCGTGAACTAGGAAGCGGAACGAGCAGAGAGGTTAGTTTTCTAATTGACGATCGATTATCTAATTACCTTTGTCATTGGCTCCGTTTTAAACAAACGATCGATGTTCGTTTTCGTGAAAACATCGTGAAAGGAATAATTGCTATTGAAGATACTTGTTGCCTTTGACTGGGATTTTACGAGGGTTGCTTTAAAAGCGTAACTCTTCGATTTTAATAAAGTTTCGCATACGTTTATATGTACGATGAATGTATCAAAATTTTATTTATAGACGGTCAAAAATTAGAAATTATAATTAATTTCGTCATATACAAGATCGCAATTAGAGTTGTAAAGTTAATTTGTATATGATAACATTAACATTTGTCTATAAAAATTTTCCCAAACTTTACGCGTATTTTATTTATAACCGACCGATCATTTACGACTAAAATTTCGAGTGCAATTACTATATATATATATACCCTCGCCATCAATGTGCCAAATTTCATCAAAATAGGATCAAAATGACAGTTCTGAAGCAGCCCTCGTTAGTCAAACCTTTCAGAGGTGTTTCATCGATGTGGCACTCGTCGAACGATTCAGAGGCGGAGAAGAACGACGGGGCAATGGGCAATGAAATTGCAGTAATCGAGGTAGAATTGCGTCGCGTCCCCAGTGGGCCGTGACGTTAATCAAAGCGCGGTGTGAAAATAATGCGCATCAGGGACACCTGTCGCCCCGGTAGCCGCTCGTTTCGAAATCTCGGCGTCATAAATCTGATTAGGCGGCGCGTTTAGGGAGAGCCGGCCCGTGTAATCGTTCGTGGAACGTTCAATTTCGTCCGCGTTTCCGCTGGTTTGCGAGGGAAATCGTTTCGTTCGACGGTGGTCGCTGGATTTCGACGAAAATTCGGGCGTGAAAATGGGGTGAATTTCCTGTTTGCGGAACACGCGACGCTTCTCGTGCTCGTTTCCGCTTTCGATCCTTTGTACGGGGCAGGTGCACGATTGGAACGAGGCAGAAAACTCGATGGAATTTCCACAAGCCCTCCCCGATTTATCTTGCGGTGTTGTTAAAAATTCCAAAAGGAGAAGAAGAGCGCAGATACTGGCGCAAATGCCGGTGACTTCGGTCCCACGGCTCCGGAAACCGCAGCTTTTTCGATTGATTCTTTTTACGAGCCAAGTTACTCTTGGATTTCTTCGTCGCTTTCTTTTTATCGATCCTGGACCGAGTTCGTAACTCTGTTCAGAAACCTCGAGAATGTAATCGAAGAAGTATATATACGAATATTCGTTGCATCGATCATTTGATCAATTTTTTAATTTGTTTCTTGGAAAGCAAAATAAAAATAAAGAAAGGTTTTTGAAAAAAATAGAATCCTTTTCGTGAAATTTGACTCGATAACATTCGTAGCGAAATGTTAAAAATTTTGTATTCAGAAGAGGAATCTCGCAAGTTCGTATTCCCAAGATTTCAATATTCGCAGAGCGAATATTCTCATCAAGGTGAAAATTTCACGATCTCGAATTCACCTTCGGTCGCTTACATCTTTTTATCAACAGATTTTCACATTTACGAACGAAAAGGGATAAACCGTTGAAATTATACCGATTCGATTTACTTGGAAAATCGGTTCTCGTTTACGGGAAACGTTCGTTCCGATATAAAGTTTGATCGACGCATGAAATCGAATTTCTCGTGCATTTCCTACCTTCCAGTTTAAAACGGTAAGCAACTTTTCGGCGTTTCTTCGTTATCAAATCGGTGATCGGCGAAATAAAAGAATGTTTGGCGGCATGTTCGTGGCTGGTATTTCAAATTGAAGAAGCTTTCACCAATGTCGCGCACGCTTCGAGCTTATACCAACTTTTCAGACATTGTTATCGAGACAACTAGTTTGGATTCTGCTTTCTCTCTCTCTCTCTCTGTTTCGTGGGAATTGTTATGCAACTTTGTGTTGCATAGCTTCCAGCTGCCGAGAGGAATATTACCAGGGAGCACTTTCGGAATTGCAAGCCACCGGGAAAACGAGGAAGCTCCAACGATTCTTGCTCGACGCCCAACTCTTTATTTTTTCTCTCTTTTATGACTTTGCATAGAGCTCGAGAAATACAAATCAGTTCCTTCTGTTTTTTAGATAAAATTACACAATATCAGTAGCCTTCGTCACATACGATTTTGATCATTCGTCTGATCATCCAAGTTCAATAATGAATAAAAATAAATATTTATTGGTCGATATCTCTATAAATACACTTAATACTAACTTTGATAAAAATGAAGAAACCAATTTGTAATCTTTTCCCTGGAGAGACGAATAAATTAAAATATATATATTTTTTTTGAATATACTCGTATAAAGATCAAATAAAGAAAGTAAAAAGTTGTCAATGAATGTACGTGCGAAGTATCGTCTCCTTTTTTGCAAAATGTGTATTGCTGATCATTTGATAACGATTATAACAATGAATCGAACGAGCAAATATGGATAATAATCGAATTAAGCACTCACCTCTATTCTAAACGTCCATCCCTCCAGGCTGAGTAGCTTAAGGGTGGTATTTCTGGCGAGAGCGTGACAGAGTAATCTGGAAGGGTGGTCGTCGAGGGCGAGTCTTGGACTTGCTAGATCTAGAAGTTGAAGACACGGTGCCTCTGTCAGCGCCAGAACTAATGGCATCACATCCGCCGGTCTGGATGCACCGGCCGCCCTCAGAGCGTCCAAATTGCGCGCTCTTCTGATGGTCTCTCCCAAGCAGCCCGCGTCCAATCCGCCCAGTAAACACTTGGACACGTTCAGGGACCTCAGCTTGCAGTTCGGCTCTCTGGAGCATTGAGCGAATCGTTCTCATATTAGCCTATTCGTTATAATTTGATGAAGACGAGTATTTATATATACGAGAGAAGAATTTTGTCGAAGAAAAAGAAAGCGAAGAATTAAATAAAAAAAAAAAGGAAAGAAACGCAGCGGAGGAAGATCTAGAAATCTAGATGCGATGAGAAATTGTGTTGAAAAGGGGCGGAGTGAAAGAAAAGAGACTCTTCACGGTATTCAGTGACACAATTGTATTCAAATCTTAACGAGGATCCACTCGAGTATTAATAATGGTATCGGTAATTGGAAGAATCTTGAACTCTCCTCGATATCGGAAGAAATAGAAAATTAGCATAGGAAAAGTGGGGCAATAATAATACGGGAGGGATTGACGAGAGTTTTCGTTAACCTGACGATATAAATTCCAATACGAATAACGACGATATAATCGACATTAAAAAAAAAAATAATAATAATAATCTAGCATAACTCGAACGAAAGTTGAGCAGATTTACCTGGTGGAGAAGAGCAGACCGGAGAGCAAAGAGACGGAAGGATTTAATCAAAGCAACTGACAAGTCCAGTAATTACGCAAGATCGATGATTATACCGGTTGTAAGGTGGCGAGGATAGCCGTATCTTTATTAATTGAACGCAGATAGACTTTTAATTAAATCTCGTTCCCGACAGATGAAGGGGCGGCGAAAGAAAGAAAAAAAAAAGTAAAAAGAAAAAAAAATTGAACGAGGGAAATTAAGATTGTTACAAAAATGGAGATCTGAGGTAAACGTAATTACGGGTACGGATAGTGAAATAACGGCGGCGGTCTCTGTTTAACGAGATCGATTCCGGGGAGTTGATTATTCGGCGGGTCGGTTGTAAATTGAACAGTCCCTCGATAAATCAGATCACCCATTAACACGTGTTTGCAATCCTTTACGCGATATTTGCTTAATTAACCGATACGTTTCATCATATTGTAAATGTATATCGATAAAATTGAGTCGTTGAAAGCACGAGAATCGATAAATCCACAAATGGAAAGGGATCGTGTTCCACAAAGAATTTTACCGTTCGATTTTTAGACTTCGAGTAGACTCGAAATCACATTGTATTAAAAAAAAATGGAATATTGGAAATCAAAAATATTGAAAATATACAAGTAATGGGAATCGCAGATATTAAAAGTAGAATATTGGATCAAGCATTGGTAAAGTATTGAAAATCGCAAGGATTGGAAAGGACATAGCGTGATTGCAAATATTGGAAATATCGCAGCTAGTAGAAATCAATATTGCAAATTACAGAATATAAAGCCAGATATTCAAAAATCAACAAATTTTTGCCATTAAAAACTCCAATGCTCTTGTGCATAAAGTATAAGAATCTTTTCTTCATCATCCATCTATTTTAATTTTCATCCATAAGGGATGCGTGTTTGACAGATACGATCGAAGAAGTTCAGGATCAGAATTGCGGGTCTATTTAAAGGTATCCACTTCTCAGAGGATATTTACTCGGGCTATTAACGTGGTACAATATGGCAGGGACGGGGGTGCAGCTAATGGCGCGCCTTTAATGGCGCCCGGGCTACGAGGAGTAAATCCGAGTGGGTTGGACGTATCTATCGCGGGGAAAAAAAATATAGCTCGCGAAACGGTACGTGCCGGCCGTGCTTTGAATCTTTCTCCGAGAAATAAACATTTTATTCAGACCGTTCACCGGTCGGATAAGCTATTCGCCCAATAAAAGTGATACTTTAAATCAAAGCGTATCGGTTCTCTCCTCTTCGTTTCAACCGTGTATAATTCTTAAACGCTCGTACTTGGTGAAAATGAACGGCCAATCGATCACTTCCACGACGTATTTCGGGTGTATCCCGCTTTTTCTTTTCTTCTTTATTTTTCTCTCCTTTCGTTCCTTCTCGCGCCAATTGATTCCCCTTTTCGAGCAGCGCAGCGTGTTCGATACGCGTTTGTAATTTCGCGGACGCGAAAACATTCGGATGAATCGGGGAAGAATGGAAACGGGGAGATTTTTAAACGGTTGGAACGAGTCTGGGTCGCGAGTCGAAATTGGAACGCTTGGTAAATGAAATTTATTCAAATTACGGGGTAATCTTATCCAAACGAAGCTACGAATAATCCGGAATGAAAACTGGAAGCAGCCCGGTTGTGAGGCGAGAGAGGAGAACTCCTCCTCCTCGCGAAGGAGATTTCTCTGGGGTAAGGAGGGAGGGAAAGGGAGCAGGAATCGATGGACACACGTAGCCCATTGTAACTCGTAAACAAGTTAATTGCACGCCAACTCAGAAACTTGCTGTCCTCTCGCAGTTTCCTTTCAACTTCGTTCAAAGAAGATTGTCCGAAGTTGGTCTCGGCTCGCGTACATCCAATACGGACGCTTTAACGACGTTAACCGTTGCCGCGTTTCGTGCGATACATCTCCCGCCGTTTCCTCTTCCTCTTCCATGGAATCCATGGAAACGAATCGAACTTCGTTACGAATTCAAATTTCGATCGGGCTTCGAAATATATTTCGCGATCGAACATTTCGAAAAGTTGGAACAAGAGTGATCTTCTTTTTTTTCTCCTTTTTTTGTAAATCTAAAAAAAGAGAAAGAAGAATTATTATTTCGTCTTTTGAGTTATTTTCTTTTTTTTTTTTTTTAGTTCGCTTTTTTCGTCACGGTCGTATCAGTCGTCGACTCGCAGTCGCAGAATTCTTCGAGTAACTCTTTGAGCTCGCCACGCTCGAGTTATAGCGAATCGGAAATGCGAGTGGAGAAACGCCACGCGAAAGGACGTTTGCTAGACGCGCGTATGAATGAGTTGACGATATTTTTAATTAAAAACACAGAGCGGACCGTCAGACGCGAGTAAATTGGACCTCGCCGAGAAAAATATTTCCGAGATTATTTCTCCGTGCTTCCGCACCGACTCGTTTGCCTTTTGAAAAATATATACATTTTCGTTAAATTCCATCGCCCACCTTTATACACCGTTGGAAATTATCAAACCGTGTATTAACGTCGATAAATACTAAATGGACAATTGTATTGGCGTGAAATTGATATTCGAATAATTTTGATAAGAAAAAAAAAAAAAAATAATTGAAATACTTATCAATTTTCTTCGACAAATCTTAAAAACTCATTCTTAATCGAGAATTTAAGATTAAAACAGTGGAATTTTTCCTCGCCAACCCAAATTAAGTACAACAATCGACAAATTGGCGTTAATTACGTTTGAACAATTTTTTTAAAAAATTACGAACAAAGATCTCGGATAAATTTTCGGGGAGCGTGGAGACGAAACAAAAACAAAATTCCACGGGGTCGCTGTTATAATCTTCGAAAAAAGAAAGAAAGAAAGAAAAAGCCACGCTGACAAAAAGGGAAAGAACAAAGGGAGCAAGCAGGGGGTGTAAATTATTTCTCGCGTTTCAGGGTTGACGCGTGATAGTTTGTTCGTAAATGGAGAAACAATGAGACTAAGGGCACACCCGGTCGACTTCCGTTTCGCCGCGGCACGTATCGCGGCGAGGCTCGCGCGCTCGTAAACGGATTCATAAAGGAGGGTGAGGAGTGCTTTCTTTTCTGGCTGCCTTTTCATCAACCACGGAACAAATGGTCCAGACCGCGGCCAATAATGGAAAAACACGCCTGTCGTCCCTTCTTTTTTTTCACAACAACGACATTTCTGTTGGTCCCGCTTCCTACTTCCTCTTTTTACGATCGCTTCGTGTTCGAATCTCGATGACACGCGCGAAATCCGAATCTAAAGCGTTCAATTGTTGTTCTTGTTTGACAGGACCTTCGCTTCTTTATAGAGAAGAATGTCTGTCGCTTAGAAAACTACACGAAGATTATTAATATGGAATTTGTAAGTGAAACTATCGATGTAATTGCGCATGATCATTCAATATTGTTGAAATTATCTCGTTCACATTCGAAAATCGGGACAGGAGAAAAAATGTTAATCCTCGTATCGCAGTAGAAAAATTCAACAGAATCGAGATAACTGGAGAATCTTATCGAATTGTTGTTTAAATTATACGATATTTGATATACGACTCGTAATCAGAGGAGATAGAAATAATAAGCGTATAATACGAAAAATTATCGTTATAACGAGGTTAAACTGGGAGATTAAAAAATACGTGGGTTCAAAAATTTCTCTTGGTCGTCCGTAACACAGCAGTTATCCGCGGGCATGCTCGATATTCGAAAAATCTTTGGTATCCGGTTTATAACGTTGCGCAAGGAAAACTGGCGACCGCGGGATTATTCGACGCGGTAACACCGGGAATTCCCATGAAATTTCCTCTCGCAGCTGGTCTGTTCGAATTATGATGCGAAACGTAGATGAAAGAATTCCATTGCGGGCCATGTAATGGAAATGCAAAGGCTGAAAGGGATTTTTGCGTGGTCGCATGTGCGTGAACAATGGACGATATCCAGGTGACGTGCAGGTGAGACTTGAAATTAACGCCCGACGAATGCCGTGGGCAGGTGACAGAATTTTATTTTGAAATTCCATGGTCTCGATAAAACTCCATAAAGCTCGAACCAACCAAGCGAAAACAGACATACGAGACAATCCTTTGTCGATCGATTATTCCACGTCTATTGTTCGTAATTCTGAGAGACGGAATTTTTGGGGAATTTTTAGTAAAAAGAAAAAAAAGAAAATTTTCATCGAAGAAATGGAGAGGAAAAAAATTTTTGCGATCCGACGATCGTTTTGCAAAAAAACGATGTTGATGAAATCTATTTTTCGACATCCTTAAATTTTACGTCTAACAATCGTTCACCCTGAAAGGTAGCGCGCCCCCTTCACGGAAACTTTCCAACAAGTTTTTATAATTTCTTGAATGGCCACTCTCCTCCGTCTCTTTAATTTCCATAACTCATTTACCGGATGTTCGAGAACCAAATCTCGAAAACTTTCTTCAAGAGAACTACTCGTTGCAGCGGTTTCTATCAACAAACTTGTCCGATGATTAGGGCCGAACTAACTATTTTCGGCTAAATGAAAATTTATTTTCCTCTTTGCTTAAATATCAATAACTCCACCTTTTAAACTAAATCCTTATCCGTAGCATTAATCACTCTTCCAATGTATGATTTAAATTTATATTCATATATACATAAAACAAAGCACATTTTATTACGAATATAAACATATAACGGCGCTAATTCTGAATCTCATAGTGTTAATAATACTTAAAATCTTAGGCAAGCTTGTGATCCATCTCGTAGAATATATAATCCCCTCACCTGATGGCGTTGAAGATCTCGTGGAAGCCAGTTCCTTGATGGCTACTGACGTCGCAAGTGGGCAACGGGTGCAGAAGCGGCAACCGGTGACAAAGTACGCTATCGCTGTTCCTCTTGCTGCTTCCGTTGCTGTCTCTGTCCCTGTCGTTCTGCGGCAGCGGTCCGTTTCCGGTGGTGGGCGCGGGACCAAGGCCAAGCCCGAGGGGGAGCCGCGGAAGGTGGCTGGCCTCGTTAAGCTGCCGTAGGCTGCCAATGCGCCCCTCGGCAGGGACGAGTAACACCGATTTAAGGGTAGCGTGCCAAGGGTACTGGACGCGCATCCGCTGCTTCCGGATCCGGATCCCGAACCTGCGATGCAATTGTACGACGAATCACTGATTATGGATTAACGTATTTGACAAATTTCTGAAATTTGGTGCATTCTACGATGGACCTGCCATGATGATGTAGATTTAAAAATTTGGACAAATATTATTGGAAAAGGAGATTAAAGAGGATTGGAATTTTTAGTCTTAAGGGTTGGATATTCTTCCAGAAAGTGTAAAAGTTTTTTTATTTTTTCCAAGATTCAAGGAATGTAGAAGATATTTATGTTTAAAAATTTATAGCAATTCTTGGTTAATGGACGAGCAATCGTTAAAACTGTGGAATCTTGTACTTTAAAACTTTATCTCTTTCATTTATCCCGATACGATACTTCCGCTTCTTGAGATATTATCCGATAACTTTTAATCGTTTACTTTACTTCGTTACAAATTAGGAAAAATTTAAATTGTTGTGACTTCGAGGATAATTAATCCCTCCAACGAATGGAGGATTATTGGAACGATTAAAGAAATCGTATCCTTTAAAACATTTTTTTGATTTATCTCGATACAACTTCCTGCTCCCGAGATATCATCGTGTCAAGAGAAAGATAATTTTTAAATCGTTTACTATTTTTCTTATTACTTGGATCTCTTGTCTCGTTGATCTATCCAAGATTCGTAGAAAAAATTCATGCAATTCTTGGAAGATTTCAATATTAATCTCTGCACTATATTAAATGAAACGTTAAACGAAAACCCCTTATATCTCAATGATACGAGATTCTTCTATTCCCCGAGTAGATTTTGATCATAAAATTTTTATATTCCGCTCACGTTTTTCATATAAAGAAAAACGGGATGTTTCACGAATGTTGTTCACAGCCGCATTTAACATTAATATTTTACAACATAATGTTATACAACCCCTTTTCTCATAGTCCGGATGACAAGTTTTTAAATGTGTGGTGTCTTTGACACGTAGACGATATTACAATCTTCCGGAATCGGGACAACCAACCGTTTCCAGCTTTAAATTCAGCCTTCAAAGCGACGCTGAAGTAATTTGTACTTAAATTAGTCTCGCGAGAAAACTCGTAAGATTGCGTGACTCTGCATAAACCCTCGCGACGACTGGATTAAACGAGACACATTGGGTGGCGGGTGTTTAAGCGAGTTCTGGCCCGAGTTTACTGGCAGTAAAGCTTCTGGCCCCGTGGAATTAATATAAACGAAGCGTATAAGCGAGAAGGGTAACGTTGGTTGGCTGGTGTATTGCCGGTTCGTAAAGTAAGCGACAGACTCAGATCCGGACAGGAAGTGGTTACGAAGGGAACTTTATTAAGGGCTCTCCTCCTCCGCCTCGTGCTCGAACGCTTCGTAAGATAATGGCTTCAATGACGAACGATGCGTCACACGAGTGCAATGCACTGCTAAATAAACCGCGATGCAAGTGTGACACGAATTATTAGGAAGAGGCAAATCGACCGATTTCGCCGCACTTACAGATACTGCACACCTCTTTTCTAAATTTAGAAAAAAAGTTTCGACACAGAATGTCGGTGAAAATAATTAATCCTAATATTCCGTTATATTATTTTTCAGATTAAGGAAACCTGCATCTCATTCTTGTATTCATTCTTGTATGCAGGCACCTCTTTTCTAAATTTAGAAAAAAAGTTTCGACACAGAATGTCGGTGAAAATAATTAATCCTAATATTCCGTATTCCGTATTATTTTTCAGATTAAGAATCCCATTCTTGTATTCCGTGGATCTCCGCCGCTAACACATGTGTTAGCATCGCGAGTTGCATGTAGCGCGGTGTGTTGGTAATAAAAGTATATTCCGGTTTATAAGCGGTCGGACGTGTGTTTTACGGCAACCTCATCCCGCTGATCGTATTATCACGAATGGTGGAGAAACTTTATCGCGAACGAGATACGCAACAGCTCGTGCTTGGAAAAAATATAAAACGTTTACGAGCAAGGAAAAACCCGCATCTCGAAAGAATTTATAAAGTCTCTACCGTCGAGCGATAAAATTTTTACAGAATTTGCAATTTGTTATATGTATCCGAATCTCGATGCGATACTCGAGATAAATACGTTTCGAAGGCAAGGGTCTACGTTTAATCTCGTCGAAGACGAGAATTCAAGGGATGGAATCGTGGCCGTGCGTTTACTAAATTACTAAATTCCTGTTTGAAAACTCTTGTTCAAAAACCTAACCTAACCCAACATAGCTAACTGCTACTTTATTAATTCTTCATCTGAGAAATATATACATGATAATTTTACGATTGAATCAGGAATTATATCGCAGAGTAGAATTTTACAGAAATCTACTCTTTGCCCATTACCCGATATTTAATTGGCTGAAGAATAACTGAAAATCGAGGCAATATTTCCCTTTATGAGAACACGCCTGGTGTTCTGTTTGGCGCGGGCCGAAGGGAAATGGAAAGCGCCGCTTCGAGCCAGGAAATGAAACTCGTCGCTAGGGAAACTTCTACCTAGGAATTGCAGCGACTGTCATCCCGACTATCGCTCCACGGTGGAACAATTAGCAAAGGACAGGGGCGTAAGTAGCCCAGGCAATAAGCAACCGCGAAACACCGATGGGATTCGTTATCCTTTTAACAATTTGCGAGCGAACGTTGCGCGCGAGATCATTCGTACGACGTCTCAGAAAAACTAAATGGGCTGGATTATATATTTTCGAGAATGAACTCGTAAACTCGAAGCCTTAGACGTAATAGCGCGTTTCGAAGGGAATGCGAGTCTGATCTTATTATTTTCCATTTTTCTATTGGGGAAATAAAAATAATTTTTTTCTAGAATTCGTACGGGTTTTGCAATTTTATTTAACGCATTCGGCTGATACCGAAATGGAATAATATGGGAAAAGGCGATACGAAAAATTTGTCGGATATCCAGGCTTTTCATTCGCATAAATGTTCACCCGGTATCGGTGTCGCCATATATTTCTTAATTTTTCATCAATTTTACAATTACTTTCTGCGCTTATCAAAAATCTATCAGAGGATTTTTATCTCGATTTTTTAAGTCGCATCGAAAAAAGAAATGTTTAGAATTCGAAATAGAGAGAGCATTTCAGAAATCGATCGAGAGTCAACTCTCTTGTTCCCGTGAATTCAAAGAGAATTCTTCTTGTTCACGCATGACGAAACTATCGACGTACGTTTACGAGTCGTACGAGTCGAGAAGCGCTTTCTTTCTCGCGATCCGGGATCTAAATCGAGGCAACGGCCTTTTTTCCCCAAGATTTTCCAGGATGGCAGTACTCAGTTTTAGCCAGAAAGACACCTTTTTACCTCTTGACGAATCGTTTTAACACGGCGACAATCGCCGTGCTCGTATCGTATCGAGCCCGCTGTTTTTATCGCGAGATAAACGACGACGACGAATTTACGCTGGCTCGCGCGCCAAACCCTCCCCCCTCCCCCCGTGCAAAAACCATTTCCCGTTCCGAAGCATCGTAATGGCCGTTTCCATCGGCCACGGTACATTGGATACGAACGTTCCTCCCTCGTTCAGAGCCGATTTAATTCCGCTTCGAATCTCCTAGGCACGATCGAATCCGCTCGAATACTCATTTCTCGGGAGTTCGTTTAAACCCCACTTGCTCCCAGATAGACTTATTATTTCAGGGAACCGATTCCTATTTCTATTCCAGACTCTTTCTTTCCTTTATTTCCTTTTTCCTTAATTTCTTTCTTCTTCTTCTTCTTTTTTTTTGGATTACCTCTTTTTTTTTACACATTCATTGTTTCGTATTCCCTTTATCAAGCTCGATTTAAAAAAAAAAAAATCCATCCATCAAAAGGGAAATTATTAAGAAGACCTTACGTCCTTTCTCTTCGGAATCTTCCTTCGTTATCGATTCATCAAGAAAAATGGAACGTGGAACGTTTTGAATAATCGAACGCGAGGAGGAGAAACGAGCTCGGTTAGGTTTCACGTCGACAACCTTCTCTGTCTTTATTCCAGCTTTTTCTCTCTCTCTTTTTTTTTTTTTTGCTCGCCCGCGTCTCTGGTTACGCGCGTTCGAGACGCGTGCAGACGCGGATACGGTCGCGTGTCCCTCGCAAGGATTAATTACACGCGGAGAACCCGTTGAAATTGCGCGAGAATCAGTCACCACCACTATCTACCACCACAGTCACGAATCACGAGATGGCCGAAGATTAAAAGTAAATCGAAACTGTGGAATATGGATCGCTGACAAGTTTTCTAGAAGAGAATACGAAGAGAGAAGTTGCGTAACAACACTTTCGCTCGACGAGTATTCCAACGAGTATCGAGATAAAGCGGAATAAAGGAGGACGTAGAAGTAAGCGGCAACCGTAAATCTGATACCGTTGCACTTTTAAAAGATCGTGTCTAGCCACTCGCGAAAGAAACGAAAGCAAAAATCGACTGGAAAAAAGAAAGAAAGAAAAACTAGTCAAAATAGACGGACAATGAGTTCTTCTCGCAATATTTTGCAAATTGAAGAATGAAAGCAGAGCTGCATAAATCGTAAATTTGAGTCTCTCGTTAGAAAAGAAGCCGTGTCGTTTCCAGTATCGTTCGATCAAACGATGGAGGCCGAGAGTCGCGAGCATCGACATCCAATTATCCTATCCTCCTTAACATGAGGGGAAGGAAAGCGAGGGATGCAGAAACGGTGTGCTGTTGTTCTTCGACGATGCGGAGTGTTAACAGTTCCGACCGAGGAGCTCCAAGTTCTTCGAGTTACCAACTGTTTATAGTATAGCCTGGTAGCTCTGGCGGCCAGGATCGATCCGCAGCGAATTCGTTACGTTGGAAGAGGTCACGTTTTCCCGATAACGGTGGTGCTTTATTAACTTTTCGAGTTTCGTTTCACGTTTAATATATTCGAAGGATCGTAAATCTACTCTCCCCTCTTCTTCTTCTCTCTCTCTCTCTCCGCTCGAGAGATAGACTCGAATTTCTGGCTGGACAATCGGAAAGTTGCGAATCGAGAGTTGGAGTTTTCAACAACTTTTCGGTTGGGA